GAAAATGAATGCCAGTATTATAATTATGAAATTCCGGAACATTATGTTTTAAAAAAAATTGAAATTAAGGGAAGGAAAGTAAATAGATAGGTTAAAAGGAAAATAAAAGTTAACACTATAATTGGACGTATATAGAAAGTTAACCCAAGTCAATTTGAATTATTCCATATGAGAATTTTGTTGCTTCGAATAAAGGGAGCTATAAGTTTTAAGCAATTAAGAACAGTGAACGGAGAAGTTTAATAAAATTTTTCATTAGCTTGTTTAGCTTGCGGATTTATTGAAAGTGATCAAGAGTGGACCTATGTAATGTCAGAAGCTGTAATATTTATAATGCCAAAACAGTTTCGTAGTTTATTTGTCCGAATTTTAATTAATTGTAACCCTATTCAACCATTTGAATTTTGGGAAAATTTTAAAGACTTTAAGTCTTTAAAATTTTCCCAAAATTTTAAAGAAGAGATAATTTTGTACGTCAGAATGTGATGTAACGGGGGAGGTTATCTGAAAAATGGTAAATTTATATAAGAACAAATTCCCACGATCCAGAGCAAACCGCTGCTCCATTAAACACGTATGATAGTACGTGTATTCACTTTAACGTCAGATGATTTATTTTAGTTGTCTTCTATCAAAAGGAGTTGAACTCACCTTAAGTCACGTGTCTTGTGACACTCGATGAGTTTTAAGTGTGAGCGACTTTACACCTAATCCTCTTAATCCCCTAGATGTAATCGGATTAAAACCTAAGCCTTTTTCAATTACTTAATCTACTAGGAAAATTAAATTTCGAAAACGGCGAATAAATTTCACAGACTTTAATTAATAAAAATTACTACAGTCTTTGCAGGGTCGAAAGACTAACGAACGCGAATAGGATTTTACAATTAGTTGTATTTGGTGAGAAAGAGAGAGAGAGAAAATTCGAATTATACCGCGAACTAACGCTCGACGCGAATACAAAAAATAACGCTATCACGAATATACAAGTATCGAATGTATTTTGTATCGCTTAATATTACGGAAGGTGCACCTACCATGCGGTGCAATTACGGTGATCAGCCGTAATTGTTGTTGCAAAAATCTCAACTGCCGCTGCCCCTCGATTATCAGCTGCGCTGCCTCGATCTGCCTCAATATAACTTTGTTGCTGCTTCTGTACTGCTGCTATTATCTGTCACGGAAATGCCGTTGCACTCACGCACGTAATTGACCCAAAGAAAACTTTACTTTTTGCGAAACAAAGTGCAAAACACAAATCGGCGGTAAACTCTCGTTACCGCCGATTAAAGATCGCGCGCCCCCTCTCTCTCTTAACTGTTAGAACTAACGCGCAGAATCGCGAACGGTTCGATTATTAAATCGACTACCGTTGCAGTGAGTGAAAATGAAAGTTATTCCAAAGCACTTTCAGACATTCAAGCTTTAATTTTAATGGAAAGTAAAAGCATAGATGAATTAGGATTTCAAAATTTGTTGCAAGTAGATATAGATGATTTTCTGAACGATCTGTTAAATTCTTATATATTGGTCATGATCAATATAAAAAATTAAATGAAAAACAAAAAGAAATAGCCGACGCAATATCCAAGCAAATTTTTTTTTCATAGATGGTCCCGGTGGATCTGTTAAAACTTATTTATATAAAACTCTATGATATCTCTATAAAGGAAATAATAAAATTATATCTTCTATGGAATTTACTGGAGGAGCAGCAACTTTACTACCGCAAGGTAAAATCGTGCATAATGTTTTCAAATTACCTGTACCACTGTTCTGATTCATCATTCAGTATAAAATTAGAATCAAAAAGAGCTGCTTTTTTAAGGGAAATAGATGTTTTTATATTGGATGAAGCTCCAATGGCTCCTTGATATTCCATTAATATTATAGATAGAACGTTACGTAACATAACGAACAATGGCAGATTGTTTTGTAGAAAAACGATTGTTTTAGGAGAAAATTTTAGGCAGCTACTTCCCATAAAATTGAATAGTACACGTAGTGAAACCTTTGATTTATCTATTAACCGATGTCCTCAATAGCCAAAAATATGTAAATATACTTAAACATAAAATATGCGAGGTTTATCTCAAGTTGTTGAATTTTCAAAATTTTTATTAAACGTTAGTGATGGAATATTAAATGACATACATGATCATCTGAGCTTAGCACATTTTCCTGAAAATTGTGTTACAGTAATTAATACTGTAGATACCATAGTAGACGATATTTATGGCGATATTTTAAAACATAAAGAATATAGAAAGACCATTAATTCTGCTATTTTATCTGCTAGAAATATTGACGTAAATGAAATAAATGAAAAAATAGTTAATTTTTTGTATGAAACAACTGAAAAAATATACACAAGTATAGATAGTACAAAAAACTGTGATAATGAGAGATTTGAAGGTGTTTTATCACCAGAAGATCTAAATACTCTGTCCCCTCCATCATTACCATCTCATGAATTAAAATTGAGATTAAATTGTATAGTAATGAGTATCCGAAATCATAGTATCAGCGGAGGATTATGTAATAGTACTAGATTGTTGATTTTAAACCTTTCTAATCATTTGTTCAGGCATGAAATTTTAACTAGAGATAAAAAAGGTGATATAGTATTTATAAACGACATAACATTATACTCATCAGAAAATTATTATCCATTTATTTTTAAATTACGCCAATTTCCTATAAAAATAGCATTTTCCATAACAATTAATAAAGTACGTACATGGTCAAATGTTAGAAAAAGTTGGTATAGACTTAAGAAATGACGTATTTAACCACATTTTGCACACTTCTTTTAAATAGTATTGTCTTGTAATAAAACGAAGGATTTTCTTTTACGTTCATTGAAATTCATTACACGTGACATTATTTATTGTATTTGTGTTGAAAAATAAATTTTTGACACGCAACGTCGCCAAAAATTAAGATTTGAATTTTTTTACAACTCCTTCATTCAAGTACATGCTATTCTTCTACATCAATAGAAAAAATTTGGTTTTTTTGTTTCAGATGAGTCTAGCCTAAGTTATGATGTCTACCGCATTTTCTGAAGGTTAGAAGGTGAATTTAGATAGTGATAAGATAGTGATAAGATATATTACTTTAATACATTATTTACTATTAAATACCAATTTAAAGAAGTCGTTTTTTTTATTTTAAACCCACGCAATCCCTTAAGATTTATTCGGAATAGAATATAATTTATATCAAAATTAAGCCTATTATATATTTCTTGTAATAGTAGTATTAAATAGCCACCTCTAAAAGTGAATTATCAAATTTTATTCGATATTTGATGAATATTTTTCAATAAAACTGATTAAAAATTATTTCTTATAAGATTGATATTATTTTCTTTTCATAGTTAAGTTATAGTATCTTATTCCACTGAGGGTAGGAGAAAATTAAGAGAGATGGAAAACAGGAAGAAAAGGAAAAAAGCGAAAGAAAAATGGTCAAGGCTTGAAAATAGCAGGAAAGGATCAAACTTTTGGGATGATTTAAGAAACTTCAGAAAAAAGAAAACGTAAAAAGGGCACCAGGATTTCCGAGGAATGACTGAAGCATTTCAGCCCTGTGGAAGAAGAAAGGTGGAATGGAGAAACACCGAAGAGGACCTAGAAGCAGATTTGAGAGAAAAAATAGAAAGAAGAGAAGAAAGAAGAAAGAAAATTGAAACAAGAACATGGGGTGAATAGTACATAATGGATAAAGTGATAATTAAAGGGGAAGTAGAGAGGGCTATAAAAGGAATCAAAAAAGGGAAAGCAGCGGAATAAGACGGAATACCCGGAGAATTCTATAAAAACCCGACGGAAGGATGGCTGATAGAATTAACAGAGACATTGAACGAGATATGGGTCACTGGGACGATACCAGAGGAATGAAAAAAAGCCCGCATCTATCCAATTTACAAAGCTGGCGAGGAAAATAAAGCAGAGAATTACAGGGGGGGGTATCACTGTTAGATGTGAGATATAAGATTTTTGCTGGAATTTTAAATGACTGCTTTAGATCCTGGATTGAAGAGAATGATATATTAGGGGAGTACCAAACCGGGTTTAGAACAGAAAGAGGAACGAGAGATCACATCTTTACCTTAAACAGCATAATAGGGAATATAATCGGAGGGAAAGAAGAAGCATTCATTTGGCATTCATCGACTATAAGAGAGCCTTCGACGTAGTAGACGGGAAAATTCTGATGAAGAAGCTGAAAGAGGAAGGAGTATCTAGAAGAATGCTTAAGATACCAAACGAGATCTATAGAGAAACAACATGTGAAGTGATAATGGACAAAGGAATATCAAGGAAATTCAAAACAATGAGAGAAGTCAAACAAGGCTGCCCACTAAGCCCAACACTCTTTAATATCTACTTAAGGGGTAACACTACTGTAGAGCACACTTTTTGAAGCTCTTTTTCGGAATTTTTTTAAAAGAAACATAGTTTTATATTAAAAATTGGACTTAATAACATGATATTAACTACACAAAATAATTTTTTCGAAGCAATAAAAAAAATGACGGCTGCACACAGCTATGAGCGATGATAGAATTTTTAAGGAGGCCTCCATGGCCATCACTTTTTTGTCGTCATTATTCATCTAAAACACAAAATCGAAATTTTTTCTTCATGTTAGAGTTAAAAGTGAAGGAACCACGTAGCCGTTTTTAAAAATATCAAATTTTCACAAATTGGCATAAGTTTGAAAAAAATTTTGGTCTTTTTCGCTAAAAAAATCGCAAATAATCAGGCGTCAATAAAAAAGTTTTTAACTTTTTCAAAAAATCCTACGTGGTTCCCTTGGAAATTATGTTTCAAAGGCTGTGTCAAAATTTGAGATTGATCGGATAAAAATTGGCTGAATAACTTTGATGGCCGTGTGGAAAAAAGTGATTTCGAGAAAATCGCGTTTGAAGTTTGAAAATGGCAAAACTTGGTGATAACGTTAGAAATATTAACGTTTTATGATTTTTACCTTTAGTTAGCGATACCAGGGCCATAAAGTTCTCCTTCCAAGTTGGCATTCTCTCGTTCTTCTTTAGTCCTCGACGTTCTCAAACTCAATCGAGCCTCTCTCGCCGCGTCAGTCAATGAGCGCTCCGAGAGTGCGATACGTGTTTCGTCGAACTCCATGCAGTAATTGTAGCAGTTTTCTCTAATTGTCATATCTAATACTGTCATCACCTCCATAACGCTTAAAATTCCATCATTGAAGATGCACACAGCAAGGTCAGAGCAAAGAGAGAGTGTAGATAATCCGCTCGAAACATTCTTTGGCGCCATGGACCAAAGGAGAGCATTGAAGCTTTCATTGCTGTTTTGAGTGAAACCTCCCAGGCGGCGATCCAATAATTCATCCTTGCTAAGATCTTCGTATATAGGTTTGATAGTTTCATAAACCTCATCACTGAGAGGTTTACTATGCGTGAACTCATCCAACGTGCCTTCGGCTTTCGCTCGTTGCCATTTACACCACGAGTCCGTGCCGGTGGGACAGTTTTCGTGATGCGGCTTCTCATCGGTAGACATTTTATGAGACAACGTGCACCAAATATCTTTCTTCATATTGTCTACAGACGAATGCGCATTTCGACAGATCGCCAAGCCGTAGTACTTACTAAGCTCGTCAATCAAATTTCCAGTTAATTTACCTCGGCCACCTAAACCTTTCTTTGACTTGACGAGCGCTCTCAAGCGAGAACTCATACGTTTTTGAACGTGGCCAATGCACTCTTTTTTCTGTACTTTCATGTTTAAAAAAAATCAGCCTCGTTTATACCTTTGAAAGTTTTACTGTCGCCGTCTCCGACGTAATACACGTAAAGCTTACCGTGTAAAGTGATTGATCGAGCAAACATTTCCTTTCCAGCGTCGACCCCTATCTTTCCTGCAGATCCTTGGTGATTCGCTTGGCATTCGCCTTCATAAAACTGTAACCACTCTGCATGCTCTGTTGTTCCTTCTTTTTTTTCCAATACTCGCAAGACTTGCAATAGGCAGATTTTACAACGATATCTAGAACTTTTCCAGTCAACCAGCCAATGAATGTTACTACGCCATACAGCGACGAAAACCCTCGTTTTCTCCACGTTCCATCGCCAGAAACTATTAGTCCATTAGTTTGTCCTTTTTCAGCAGATAATTCAGCTTCCTCCTTTGCTGCTTTCTTCATACTTGCATTACGCACACTCTCTGTTGCAGCAGAAATCGTTTTTACAATGGAGTCGTAGCATGACTCATTGAACAATGAAACATTGGCCGAGGAATATCCATAATTCCACAAAATTTTAATAATCCATTTAGTCCCACTCCTATCAAATGCATTGCCAATACTATTCGGCGGTTAATGTCGTATGCGTTTCGAATAAATGGACTATTAGGAATGCTGGCAATCACTTTATCTCTGCTGTTTTTCGCACACGTATCGCAGACAATGTCAATTTTGAAACCGAAGCCACGTTTTAAAGATTGGAAAAACTTCACTGGTGAATGACAAATGCCACATACAAGATGATTTGACATTTCTGTAAACACTGACACAAAAGCAATAAAACAGTAAGAGAAAGTAGGGTCGACCATCGGATCACGCGTGCTGTCTCTTCTCAATTTTTTTGCCGACGCACTAACCTCTTCGAAATCAGCTTCTGACTCGTAACGATTCAAAGGACGCCTCTTTCCTCTGCCTGCCTTCCGAATTAATGATTTCGTACCTTTTTTCGTAACAAATCCTTTTTTAGTAGGCGCCATATCGAATACAAAATTTGTGCGAGAATATTACTTTGAATCTACACACGGCGTTCGAATTAGCGTGCACAACGGTTAAACTGACGCTACACTGATACACTCACACAAATGCAGTTCAAAATCCAACTACTGACATTTGTAGGTATCTGTGTGTACTATGTACGACTAGGAATAGGTCGTTAGGGATGCCTGAGGCAGGTAAGTATTTCGGAGCGATGGGCGCGCTGCGTGAGCTCAAGCGCACAACGGGGCGCCTAGGGTCTGATGCTCATAACTCGGGGAAAAAATTTTTTTTTGCAAAACTACTTTAGGGTGGTGTTTTTGAGATGTTTCTCTACCATTTAAGCAAAAAAAAATCGATTTTTGAAAAATTTTACAGTAGTGTTACCCCTTAAATGATCTAGACAAAATGTGGACGGATAGAAAGGAAGAAGGATCAGTGATTGGTAATCAAAAAGTCTATGGATTAATGTTCGCGGACGACATAGTATTGATTGCTGACAACAAAGAGGGTTTACAAGAAATGCTCAACAGCATGCAAGGATATAACGAAAGGAATAGAATGGAGCTAAACGTAAACAAGACCAAAGTAATGGTGATAAGAAAGGGAGGGAGGTTAGGAAGAAATGCAAAGTGGTATTACAAAGATGAAAGACTGGAAGTAATAAATGAGTACAAATATTTAGGATTTTGGTTAATGCTAAAGGAGGATATGGAACACATGTAAAGAAAATGAGACTAAAAGCGCAAAGGGAAGTGAACAGTACATGGGACATAATGAAAAAAGCAAAGCTGAACACACTGGAGAGAAGGCTATTGATAGTGATTTCAATGGGGAAAGCAGGTTATCTTCACGGATCGGAGATATGGGGTTGGGCACAGCAAGAAGGAATAGAAAAAATACAAGCAAAAATAATCAAAATGGCACTAGGTATCAACACGAACACACCAGATTACATATGGAAAATGGAGGCAGGGATAGAAGGATTATATTTCGGAAACAATTAAGAAGGCGACAAACTATATAGGAAAGATTACTGAAATGGATGACAAAAGACTACCAAAACAAAGCTTAAGGGAGGAAATGAGAGGGATAAGGAATAATAATTCTACAAGATGGGGAAGGAAATAGGTAGAATCGGCCACAAAGGCAAGAAATGACGAGCTAAAAAGATTAATAAACCAAGGGTTGAAAAAGGAAAAACTTATGGAAACAACGGAGAGAACCCTAAAGATAAGAACAGAACAAGACATCCAAAGAAGATGGAGTAAAATTGATGAATCGAAATATTGAAATCACTACAAGAAATGGAACAAAACAATAGGAAGGGAGAAATATTAGAAAGAAAAAGGAAGTGAGGGGCATCTGAAAGAGGAATGAGCAAGGATAAGATGCGGGAGCATAGGAAAAGAAGGAAACAAAGGCTTTACCAATCAATTATGCAGAATATGTGAGAAAGAAGAAGATCTACAATACATCTGGACATGTGAGAAAGCGAGGAAGATGATAAGAAAGGAATGGGTAAAGGCGGTGGATGAATGGAGAGGGGAGACGGAAGGAGATGAATTAGTAAGGAAATTAGAAGAAATACTAGAGGGAAGGATCGACCACGGCACGAGCCAATATGCAAGGGCCTTTGAGAGAATAGTAGGAAAGAATAAGAAATTGAGAAAACATAAGAGGGCGATGTGTAGAGACTATTAGTCTTCGGACAGGAACAGGAAATCTGAGGGAAGAAGAAATGACAGAGAAGAAGAGGAAGGAAGACTATCAGAACGAAGCATACTAGACCAAAGGTTGTAAATAATATTAGCTCGCGGAATCTATGTACGAAAATAGGATAACAAATGTAAAAAGTTGTTAAATAATGTTTTGGTAAAGTAAGCATCTATGTATACCATTATGGAATAAATTATTATTATTATTGTTATTAGTATCTTATTCCACAAAGTGTTGATAATAATGATAATCTTCTACAAATATTTAAAACATAATGACTTTTTAGACTAACCGCAACGTATAATAGCAATATTGTTATATACTCCTATTCCGTACTCTATATTGTAAGAATCTTCAAAACTAAATTCAATAGGATTTTCAAATTTATTCGTTTTTTCATCAATGTACCAGGAATATTTTTATGTACCATAAACATATTTTTATATCTCGATGAAGAGAGCTAATGATGAACAATAGATTGGATTTTGACGATGTTGTTTTTTAAATGTAAATTTAAATCGTAATCCATTAGTCACATAATCTAAAAAATATCGAACGAAGTTTTTCCAGAAGCGAAATCTGTACACATCAAATGGTTCAATCTTTCCTGTTGGTCCTGCTGGCATTTTTTACATAAACAATTTTATTTCTTGGCATTGTTTCCTCTATAACTTTTTCATAGGGTCCACTCCAGGAATCGAGTAATAACACAGATTGATGTTCTATATGTATATAAAATACTTGTTCTTATCAAAGTTTAATAAAAAATTATAGCCATCAACTCATTTTCTTATTTTTTTTTTATTATAATAAACAAAAAATTATGCACTTGTAGTTAGTTTTCCAGGTTCTGATGTTTCTTATACACATTTTCTGGTCTAAATGACTGTTTTTCTATAACAGGGCCGAATTGATCAGTTGATTCTTTTAAAACGACGAAAAGCTCTGAGAGTGATTGTCTAGTAGCTGATACAAGTGAATGTATAGTGTAACTATGTGTTATCGATGAAACTGACTGTACCGACACTGCATCTATTTTTCTTCTTCAACTGTTAATGATTTTCCAGAATACAATTCTGATTAGAAACCTGCTTTCAACTGAATCGTACAAATTTTTAATTCAAATTGATAGTAAATAAGATTTTATATCAGTTACAAACATATCAGCTTTTGTTTGAAGCTCTAAACGACTCTTCAATGTTTTTCACGTAATAAATTTATTTATCTTTCTACTCATTATTCTATGTGCCTTTTTAAACTGTCATAACTAACTTTTAGAAGTTTTAAATCTTACATCTTCAAAGTCAATTTTTCTTTAAGGTTGTAAAGCTCGTCAATGAATATCACGATCGTGAATTTCTTAAATCACATTCAACAGCAACTTTGAAATTATCTAGCTTATAATGCCAGATCTATGCAATTTTTACTCTACGAGGGTGGTCCAATAAGTACTTAGCCTCACCGCCCGATGGCGCTACTCTCGCAAAAGAAATATTCTATCACGTAGTACAACCTTCTTGAAGTTGTAGTTTATTTTTGAGAGCGTGTGAAAGCAAGTGTGTACGTTGATTTTTGAAAAATGGAAAAAGAGCAGTATCGGTCGGTGATTCGATTCTTGTTTTTGGAAGGGAAATCGCGCAGCGAAATCAAAAAGCGCTTGGATGCTGTGTATGGTGACTCTTCTCCTTCGATGGCGACCGTCAAAAATTAGTTTAACGAGTTTCAACGTGGTCGCACGTCGATTTTTGAAGAGCCACGTCCAGGTGCTCCGAAAACGGCTACCACGGAGGATAACGTGATAAAAATTCACGATCTCGTATTGGCAGAGCGACGATTGATGGTGCGCGAAATAGCTAAGATCGTAGGCATCTCAAAAGACCGCGTGGGTCATGTCCTGCATGAAATTTTGGGCATGAGAAAGTTGTCGGCGCGATGGGTGCCGCGTTTGCTCACTCCGGACAAGAAGCGCAACCGTGAGACAACTTCAGAGCAATGTCTGACGCTGTTTAAGCGTAATCCGAAGGAGTTTCTGCGTCGTTTCGTGACCGTCGACGAAACATGGATCCACTGGTATACACCAGAGACCAAGGAATAGTCGAAACTGTGGATTTTACCCGGCGAAAGTCACATCGACTACCTGGGGCAAAACGGTCACAGGGCTGTACCTTGCCGAATTATTGGGCCGATTCGACGTCGAATTGCAGAAAAAACGGACCCATTTGGCGAAGAAAAAAGTGCTCTTCCACCATGACAACGCACCGGCTCACACCTCCGCCGTTGCCATAGC